AACAGAAATTAAGAAAAAAAAGTAACCAACACAATTAATATTACTTGAATAATAAAGTGAATGAACAAAAGTTAAAACTTAAAATTAAAATACATAAAACTAGAGGCAGAAAAACGAAGAGTAACAAGTTCTAGAGAAAGAAAGAAAATTAAGTTACAAAAAGTAAGTAATTTAACGAAATGATGTTCAAAGTGCAACATAAGTCCCCTTATATAGTGTCTAGGAAGCTTGGGGACTAAATGTGGTCCAAAAAACGTAAGATATGGAGCTCACTAACAAAAATCATCCAATAATGCAGCCCACGAACAGGTTCTGTAGGAATTTGTAAGATTTATCCAGTCAATATATGCAGAATCAACAAATCTTGTAGGAATTCAAAGGATTTGATCAGTCTTGAGATTTGACCATTTTATCCATGTAAAATGCAATGATTCATATAACTTCAACAAAACTCCAAAAGTACTAAGAATGTAAAAAAAAGACCAAAATACTCAATTTGGATAATAAAATAAAACTACAAGAGTGTAAAAAAAGTGTGTAAATATGATTAATAAATTAACACCTATCAGTTATATACAGTCATAAAATATGTATGAATTACTGATTTTATTGGTTTTCTATTGTATAATTTACTAGCATATATATAAATTTAATGTTTATTTACAAAAATGAAAACAACCCACAAAATAATTGAATAAAGAAAGGACATGAATGATCCCTCGATTTCACTGGAGGATATCAACGTAATGAACAAGGTTCGAAATAGCATGAGACGTGATGTGACATTGTGGTGAGGTCAGACTTTAAGTTTTAGAAATCATAGCAAAATCATGACGTTTTTTAAGGCGTCAGTTATGGCGGCAAATTTGTATATCATATATAATAATTATACATAAATATTTTTGTTTTCTACCATTACTCAATGAATTACTGATATTAAACATATTGAATTAGGGTAAGAAATATCAAATAACGTGTTATAAAAATCACGCATTAGATCATGGCGTCCCATGGGCACAACGTGGTGTCAAACACAAGTCTTAAGTCACGGCGTGCCAAGATGGTTGTCGCGACGAGCCTTTTAGAACACTGGTTATGAAACATACCTCCGCCATTCACGTAGTCTAATTCCCAGATAAATCTTTTTACTCTCCAACACTTCCAATATTGAGCTTTTGCTGGCTCATCAGGATATCGGCGAAGGTTTATAGTTTAGAAAAACAGGCTGATTCAAGCTAAATTATAATTTCTTTGCAAACATTGTCTATACTATATTATAAAACATTTGACATAAACTCTTAAAAACAATTTTTTGTGCATAAAGTATTGTTTATTGATGCATATTACTTAAAATTCAAGATTACAAGTAGAATGTGTATAAGTACATCTTATTAAATCTCTATGTTTGAATTCGTGTAACTAACTGCAGATACACATAATCAAATACATGATAAACATCATTTTAAATATAAAAAATCTAAAATATAATTAAGATAATCTTTGAGTTTTAACAGAATACTTAATTATTATTTTTAAAAAACTATTTTATCAACCTAAAAATAAATTAGTTCGTTATTAAACTTCAATTAAATTATAATAAAAAATTGAACCAAAGAAACTTTTAAATAGTTAATTTGATATTAATATCGCTTATTTGGTTTTCAAAATTTTAAAATATTTATAAATTTATATTTCACTTCAAAAATAAAAACATTAATTTTTTTCTTAAAACCACATAAAATCACATTATAACATCGATAGACCCAAAATATAAAACAAAAATCAAGATTTATCTCGTTGCATTGCGCGAATACACTTTTGATAACAAGAAATACATATTTTGAAATTAAAACTCTGATGAAACATATTGAAGTAAAAAATTTACAATTTCATCGTAAAAGAAGTTACATGATTAGAACTTGACCTTAACATGATAATAAGTCAAATTACCAAACTCGACATTGACTTATCATCAAGTTTACGTGTTATAGCAGAAAACCTCGGTTCAAAATTTTGGTATTATCACATTTTGTTTTTTATGAATAAAAACTCTGTCGAATTTAAGTGAGTACGCAAAAATAAAAAATAAACATCAGTAGTATTCTTGCCTATGTTTATTTCATACATATTACTGTCCAACTCGTAAATACAATCGATTACAGTACTGTTACATGATGTCTTCAACATTTCTGTTCAATTAGCATATATATGAATTACAGTTTTCAGACCAACAGACATGACTTATAAGAACTTGTATGATTTAAAAATACATAAAACCCCTTATAATTAACCTTGACATAATCATATCATGTTTTAACTTTACTAATATCGTTTTATATTTAGATTACAGAACGTGTCAGTTAAAAACTTTATTTAAAAGTAAAATAATAAAAATTAAAACAGGAAAATAGATAATCAGTAGTTTGATAGCATCTTCAACAGATTCTTTATAATTTCTCTAAAATAGAAAACCAAAAGCCAAAATCTCTAAAAAAGAACTACATTTTAACTCCAACATATTTTAGTTAGTGTAATAATCCTCAAACAAATTTTACCCAATTACAATTTTGAGGCTAGGATCCATATTTTCATTTGCAACGTGAAGAGGGATACCGTAGTCACGTGGCAAACTATTTTAGGTAGACAATCAATTTCAATCATAATGAAACTCCCAGATATATGAGACTCGTTAATTCAATTAACGGCATGTTTTGTCTCGGAAATGCTATCTTACTTTTGTGGTTGGGATACCGAGGACCACAAACAAGATTTTGTGAATTAACCATGTAAAACGCGTAGGCATCCTCGAGCTTTGTAGTGTCATATTGACGTACCGGTGAACCACACGCACTCCATCAACAACTACAAATCCGAGTCGCCATAACATCATCCAACATAGTCTCAGGTTATTGTGCCGGTGAACCACACATGCTCCATTAACAGACCATAAGGGGATGTTATGCGTTTTCATGGAATAGCAACAATTTCACAATTTTCTTAAGTATCTAAACGGGAATACTGTTAGGATACTTTTATATGTTATACTTTTAACGAGGGGCGTCGACAGGTTAAGTCCGAGAGGTAGCTCCACAGAAAGGCGTCAAGGGTGGTAAAACACAAGGCTCTTTAAAAACCATCCCTCGTTAAGGAATCAGAGAGACCAACCTTAAACCTCTCTCAAGTGGGTGAGCCTCCCTTTGGATCTAACTCGACTTTAAGGTTTTGTCTCATACATATATTATATAATTAGGTTATACATATAGGTAGGTAACATTTTAAAAAATTAAAATAACCTGTTACGTAGAACAATCATATAACAAATCGTTTCAAGCATACACACATATAAACGATTTCAAGACCAGTTCTCTCCTAAGGGCTCATTCACGAAATATTGTAGCATGGCATGTGCAAATAATCAACTAAACCTGGCTCTGATACCATTGAAGTCCTTCAACTGACTCGAGTAAAGAAGACAGCTAGACTATTAGAGGTAATTCTTATTCCCTTTCTTTTATTGTTGTGTTGCTTATAATCATTAGGCTAGCATCCTTTAGAGGGTTTAGAGTGAATGCTTGCCATAGAAATTTTCGTGTGTTTATTTCCGCTGCCACATGTATGTTTGTATATTCCTATAGGGCTAGAAAACCCTTCATGAAGATGCTTCGAGCATATGTCAATGTCAACAATGGATAGTAGCCTATAATTTTTACTTTGACTTTGACTTTTTCCAATTCTATTTTTTAACACTGAAATATGTTGATTTAGCGAATAAATTTATAAGATTTGAGTATATTGTCAAATTATTACATTAATATGATAAAATTAAGGAATTGTAAACATGAAATTTATGTCCATCAACATGTTAAGATATCTGATTTCATGAAATTGGTTACTAATATTTTCCGATCCAAATGGCTGGTAGGTAACCCTTGGAATACGTTGCATTTGGTACTAGTTGAGGTTTTGTTTGTATATGCAACACCTAAACTTTATATGTCCAATTAAAGCGTGTTCTGATTAATATTGGTCCCATTATGTACTCAATAATGGAAGTATCAATGATCAAGTCATGATAACCACTGTTCAAGCAAGTCGACGCATTGGTTCAGGTAAAACCTATTCTTAGGGTGTGACGTCTTGTCTGTATAGGGCTTGAGTGAGTTTTTCTGGTATATGGGACTCTGTCTTTTTTAATGAAATCGGGATGTGATGAGATAATTATTTATGACTGTTTTAAGTAAGTAAAAGATCATGTAATTAAAACTATTAAACAATAAACGTGTCTGGCATGGAAATTCAAGATTCTGGTGAAAACCATTTAATTTATTACTCTATATTAAAAAAAATTATACGCGTATATTAATTATAAAAATTAAAGAGAAAACAATCATACTTGTTAGTTGCATATGCCTCTATTGTCAACCGCTCAACAAAAATCGTGATCCATCGTTGACAGTATCCAGGTTATCAATAAATCATAATCTCGTTGTAGATCAAAGACGCAATTCTCACAAAAATTTAGGGGGTGTTTGGGATTACTTATAAAAACAAATTATTGACTTATTTCGGTGTGACACTGGTAATAAGCACTTTTGAGTGTTTGGATAAACAACTTATACCGGTGTCAAACCAGTAATAAGAAGTTTTTGAAGAAGTTAAACTCTTCTAACTTATAATAAGTTGATAAGTGTTTTTGTAGAAAAGTATAAATCATTTTAAATAAGCAATCACAAACACTCCTTTCAAAATGTTTGTTAAAAAACAATTATAATTAAATGATGTTTTAAAACATGTATTTGAAAAACATAAAGTTAAGCCTAAAAGAGGGAGTAGGCCCATATAAAAAAAGTATTTATGATTTACGAAGTATTGAAAGCCTATTTGCATACTTTGTTAAAAGGACCCATTTATATGCAATTGAAAACCAACTGTCGAGCCCAAAGCTCGCGATTGATGCGGCCATGGCGGAATCCTTTTCTACTCAACGTGTGTCACTCGCTTCTTCTCCTTGTTATTAAATCACAGACGATGACCCATAAACAAATCGATTCATGACTCTTGATGAGTTTTCTCTCTCTTTGCCTCTTCATACCCTCTCCAGCCGGCCAATTTTTACCTAACTCTTATCAGTTCCCCCAAAAAATTTCCTTTCAAAAATTACCCAGATTCTTCAATCAATCGGTGGGATTTCATTACGTCATTGATCTGTTTGATTGCCGTCGTGGTCCTCCACCGACAAATCTTGCTTCTCAGGTGAAGAATTCTTTCGATTTTAATTCTCTTTTCTTTATCTGGGTTCGATTTGATTTGATCCCTAATTTGGATAAAATTGTTGGGTTTTGATTGAGTTTGAAATCGTTTCTGGGTTCTGATTGAAATTTGAATTCGTTTCTGGGTTCTGATTGAAATTCGAATTCGTTTCTGGGTTCTGATTGAAATT